TGTTCAATTCTGAATCGTAAATGATCATTTTCCTTGCCTTTGACAAAACAGACACAAGGGGAAGAGAGAGAGGGGATAGTAAATGTGGGGGAAATTCAGCTTTTGTTGATCTTGAAGTACAAGGCAACTAGACAGTCATGTGGGGGCAGCTGTGGTAGCTGCTGTTCTGGGCTCTGGCTCATTTCTGCAGTCTGGGGTGTCATCTGGCTGGTCTGGTCAAGTCCCTTTCCTTCACCGGTCTGTCTCCAGCTGGGCAGAGGTAGATATGCCATCTCATTTCATTATGCTCGTGCCATGAGGTACAGCTGGTCTCAGGATCAGAGGAAAAGCTGAGTGAGTGAGAGTGGGGAAGGGAAGGGAGACAGTGAGGGATAGAAAGGAACATACGAGGGGAGGAAAGACCGAAGGCTCTCACATTTATATGGCTGATGGCCTCACTGGTGCAGCAGTGGTGGTCAGAGGTCCCCACTGATGTGTTGAGGTCTGGGAGTCATGATGACCCTTCAGGCTCATGAACAAAGGACAGTATCTGGAGTGAAGTGGGGGCCTATCAGCCTTTCCCCTGGAAATCCCCCAAGAATGCAATCCCCATTCAATTTCTCCACCCTAAGGTCTCTCTTTATGAACCCCAAAAGCAGATGATGGGCAGGAGAGCCATGTCACAATTCCTGATTTAATTGCACCTCTGACCCCTTAGGGGTCACCTTGAGGCACCTCGCTTAGGTCTCTGGTCTGCAGATGTCACCTTTCTGGGGACAGAATTCTGCCATTCACTCCTTCCTGACTGGGTTTTTAGGTTGCAGACTCCTGCTCAGGTGATCACAGTGAATTGTGGATCTGACTTCAGTTCAGCACCTGCAGTCCTGTTCTCTCAGAGGCAGTGAAAATGTTATTCAGTGACTAACCAGCTTTCACCAAGCCAAGTACTCTTGATTCAGAACAAAAGCATTATAAAGAAAACTTACCTTAAAAAACCAAATCAATAGCTTGTATACATGCCTGACTTACCAGGTGATCACCCATCCTCTACAAGAAGACCCTGGCATGTTTTAAAGTACTTTGGGTCTCTGCCCACATTGTTTCAGCAGTGACGATTTGCATTACTTATCCCTAGTGTCTTTACTTCCTGCATGCTTACAATTACTAGCAAAGCCTTAAAGATACATATAACATTAATACAATAGTCTTTAACTATTCCATTTCCAAAGCATCTGTCACAAGCCCATGCTCTCATTATTTTGATACCATAGACCTACTTTTCAATAAACCTGTTTTGATCCATTAATTTCTGGTTTCATTCTTCTCTTGTTTACCAGACATACAACCCAAGGAATATGTTGAGAGTGTCAGGAGGCCTTTTGCTTTTTGTTATGACTAATCCCAGTCATTCTGTCTCCCTTATATACCTTTCTCCATCCACACTTATTGTTATAGGGGATTGGGAAGTGGGTTTTTAAAAGATTCTGACTGTTGAGGTCATAATTGGGGTAGACCTGCTAGGCCCCCATTTTTACAACACATCAAGAGGATTTCAAAAATAATTTGGGGATTTGAATAAGATATTTCTGTAATGTATTTGTTTAACGTTGACTCACTTTTATACTTGTTTCTATCATGATACAGAACGTTCTCGGAGCAGCACCTATTTTTCTCTCGTTGCCATAATGACAGCCTTTCACAGGTTAGGGAGGTAATGGCATATGCCATTAGGGAATCTGATGGGGGTGTGACTTTTCTGCTGTTGGATACACCCTTACCCAATCTAGAATCATTGCTACAGTCATCATCATTTTTAAACTGGTACCTGGTGGAGTTTAACAGATAGATTAGCACTTTGCTTGGCCTCACTTCTGTAAACTGTGATTGCTGACCTAAAATGACATGATTTAGAAGTTTCTTGTTGCCTGTTCAGCAGCTGTAAATTCTACCCCCGCATCTTTCCTCAGGCTAGCTGAGAACTGGCAGTAACAGGCAGCTGCTGTTGCCCTGTATAAACCTCAAGCCAAGTTCCCCTGGCTGCATAACACAAGAGAGGGTCTGTTAGCACTGAAGAAGCAACAATGAAGAGTAAAAATGTGCCAGTTAACCTTGAAGAGGGAGTCTGAGTTCCAGCTTTGGACAGCTGGCTAGCCAATATATTCTGCTATGAAGCACAGACATTAGATGGGTTGGTTAGCTGGAAGACAATGGGCAAGGGAGTACTTGAGAAGGGGAGAGGAGACAAGAAAAGCAGTCAAAAGTGGTGGGACCAGTGAAAGGAGGAAGGAACCAGGGAAGGAGGAACACAAAGTGGTGTGACAGAGATTGGGGAAAGGTGAACAGGATGTGGGGGAGATCAGAAAAGGTGAGATGGCATTGAGAGATTGTGGCAGAGTTAACAGGGAACGTTTTTCACATAAAAGAAATTGTGGGGGAGAAAAAAAATAGAGATTGTGAGGGGGAAGTTCTGGGAAGACCAAGAGGTGGGACGGGGACCCAAAGATAAAAGGAGGGGAGAAAAGATGGAGAGAGAGGAAAGAATGCAAAAAGACTAGAAGAAGAAGAATAGCCCAAACTAATTCTACCTTAATCTCAGGGGGAAAATATTTAGGTCTCTGCAGTCTAGCAGGGACAAAGCAATTCTTTGGCCTGACTAACTCTGGGGGGGTCCACGCCATCATTTGACTTTTCCCAGGTTAAGCATGCAACATATATAATGATTTTGTTTATCCAAATCCCAAAAAATGAAGTACAGACTAAGCAGATTTATTGTAAGAATAATTTTTATTTAATATTTTGGTAATACAGTGATCCATCTTAAAATGACCACAAAGATTAGCTGTTTAAGAACTGCATACATTCTATCTGGGTATTAATAAACTTGAAGAATTTTACAGTGATAGTATGATGCACATTTTTGACAAGCATTTATACTGTGTATCACCTGATCATAGACATCCACACAAATCAATTTCAACTGTATGAATGACAGTCATGTTATCACAGATACATATTTAAAGCTTTTGGGAGAAGTACAAAATTACAAAAAAGGTATTTTTTACTGAAATAGAAAACAATGATTCTTGAATTAGAATAACTATTCTGTTGAAGGTTACAGACTTTTTTATGGACATATAAAAGTATAAGTGAAAAATGTGTTGATCTAGTATAGATCTGAGTATGACTATGTTAAGAATGTTATACAGCATTTCACAGATATAGGCTAAGTTCTGGGATATCAAAGATTTTATGTAGTCCACAAAATACCTGAGGGATACCCCTTTTAGATTTAAAAAAGCCTTTGATTTTAATGTTTAGTTTTGAAAAACATGGACGTACATTCCCTACAAAATCAGAGATTTGAAATAGCTGAGTCGGGTGTGTCCCTGCTACCTGGGTTTAGGGGGCAATGCTTTAAACCCTGATACAGATTCCTTTGAAGTTAATAGCAAAGCTCCTATGTACTTCAGTGTGATCAGGATCAGGCCTTCAATGTTGCTCCCATCCAACACCACTGTGAATTTTGCCATTGCTGTCAATAGGGGGTAGGATTGTCACCTACTGTATAATATAGGGCTCAGTCCTTCAAATCTTTATTCATGTGAGCAGTCCTCACTCCATCAAGCAGTCCCACTGATTTCATGTTTATAGCACCAGGCCCATATTCCTCTATATACCATAGGGTCTGATTTTGCAATAGTCTACGCACCTCAAGCAATGTGCTGAGTGCCTCTAACTCCCATGGATTTCATTTAGAGTAGAGGGTGGTTTGTGTCTCACAGGAGGTGCCCAACACTTTGCAGGGTCTGCACTTTTATATATTAAAAAGCAGGTTCTCTGAGTGTTGTTCATTATCCTATATAACCATTACAGAGTGGTTCAAGACTATAATACTTCTCATGTATGTTTTACTTAACAGCTGATCACAAGGCTATTTGAAATGTAAGTGTTTTGTGAAATAATGCAAACTACAAAATGCCCAAATTATCCTGATTGGGCCCCAATAATTGTATGTAATCCAAACTCCCATTATTTTGTTTCATGTCCTTACTGGAAGTAGATCACATTAATAGTACATGATGAACCATCATAGGCATAATTTTAACTCCAGCTAATAGAATGATTATAGGAACATAACTATATCTATTCCACATGTTGTTTGATCTTAGTGGCACAAAAGTTCTAAGACACAAGTCCTCCTGCAAACCTATGTGAATTTTAATGGGACTGCTCATGTGATTAAGTGTTGGCATGTGCCTAAAGATTGGCAGAATCAGGCATAAGCTTTTAGCTGAGAAAATAAACAGTCCACAATAAAAGGCCATCCTTAAGTAGGTTTTCCTAATGAAAATATCTATTATTTTTCCTTTGATCAGTACCTTTGCTTCTGCTTATGAATAAATTAATGGATTATATATCATATCTGCCATTTGGTGACTTACTACTTTTAATCTTTCTGCTTGAGATGTAATGAATTTCAATACATTCCATTTGTTCACATATAGATTATGAAATACATTTCAAAATTCCGTTGTGCTCATAAACAAGTCTTTTTGTAGTCATACTTTAAATACTTTGGAATGTTAAAGGCAAGCTTGGCATTTTACCCAACTTCATTTGAAAGTTTATCGTCAAGGCACTGAAACACATCCCAGCGCATGTCCCAGGACGTAACACAAGCCCATGGCAGTTCCCTGCATAGGGCGCTTGCAGAATCTGGCTCCAACAATCTAGGCACCTCTTTCCACACAAGATTTCACTTTGGGATGTAGAGTCTTTGAAGGCAAATTAGGGCTGAGACAGCTGCAATGAGACATGGAAAGGGTTGCGCAAGGAGTGGCTGGGACACTCCAGCCAGGCAGTTAATGAGGAGGGTGTTAAAATAACTGTTTTCTTCTGCCTGTTACCCCAAAAACAAATTTACTTTTAAATCACATTTTTTTGCCTGTATTTCAGTACTTAATATATTTATAAGGCTCCCCTCGCGCGCGTGCTCTCTCTCTCTCTCTCTCTCTCTCTCTCTCTCGAATTAAAAAAGAGGACCTGCTTAATGCTTGGGCAATTCCACTCCCCAGTGTTTTGTGGTACTTGGTATATTACAAAGAGCTCACCAGTGCTGCATATTATTATTTACTTTATTTTAAGTCTAAAAAAGAGAGAGGCGGGAGCATCCTTATATATTTGATTCAAATGTCAGTGTTCACAGATTTGCTGATAGATGATTTTCAGTAGCTGTTTTCTCTGCTTGCAATCTTTGGACAGCTTTATCTAGCAAATCCATAGTCTCCCTAAGAGTGACATTAACTGTAAATGGCTTAGGTTTAATGGTCAACCCATAGGTGAATTCCATTTTAGAGTCCTCATTTGGATTAGCAATAAAATTGCACTGGTGTACCAGTATGGAGGTAAAGAGAAAGAGCTGCATCTTGGATAACTCCTCTCCAATGCACCTACGTTTACCCAATGAGAAAATCATCACATTGCTAGTAAGATCTTTGTTAATGAATCCATTCTCATCCAGGAATCTTGTTGGCTCAAAATCCTCTGGGTTGGACCATTTTTCTGGGTCATGATTCACTGACCACTGATTGATGAATATGACTGTGTCTTTGGGAATGAAGTAGCCCATTATGGAGGTGTCGACTGTGGTGGCATGTGGAATAGTGACTGGCACAAAACTGCTGAAACGCATGGATTCATAAAGGAAAGCCATAACATAGGGCAAATGAGGTTGATCTTCTGCACAGGGCAAGCGATCTCTGCCAACAATCCTATCCACTTCTTCTTGCATTTTAACCTGCACCTTTGGATATCTGTTGGAATTTAAGCATATATATACACATGTTATCTATGCAAATATAAACTATATTTTCAAACAACAGACTTTCTTTTTGAAAGAATCATATTTAACTAAAGCTCCTCAAATTTTTTTTCACAATTTTTGTCAAATGCAGTTGTCAAAATAAAATATTTCATAGAAACATATTGATTATGACATGTTCAGTGGGAAAAAGTCAAAATGATTTGTTTCAATTGTGTTATAATTTAATTTAGCCTGCTATATTAAAATTGTATTTTATATTACATTTAATATTTCATGTGTATTGTATATTTTAATGCAATATAAAAGTTGAAACAAAATGGATTTAAATGATACTAAATGAATTATTTTTGAATTTTAAATTTCAGCTTTTCATTCTAAATCAGAATTACTTCCCCCCTCTCCATGCCCCCAAAAGTAGGAATTTCTCACAGAATGGAAATGCTGGTTCTTGACCAGCTCTATATGTAACCTCTAAATCTGTTTCCATTGATGTTTGAATTAACACATATGAGACTATATTACACATGGATTAGAGCTGTATGTAGTGTTTTTTAAAACTAAAATATTTATCTGATAAACTATCAGAATAGAAAAGTTCATGAGCACTCGGATCTTTGTTTGTGGATATTTACTATAACTAATATCAAAATACACTTTTTCATGGTACTGCATTGTATTTAGGATCACTAGCAAAAAATTATTCCAAATTTGTTATATAAACTTGGAGAAGGACCTCCAAGTGAGAGAGATTATAAAAGAAACAAACAAGCAAAAACATTGTAGAAAGGGAGATCAGCCTATTTTTTCCTCTTTGATTTTTTTTTAAGCCCTCATTCCTTCCCTCTCTAAAAGCAACATAGCTCTATTGTCTTCCCGCATCTATAATTTTTTGAAGCTTTGATTTTTAACTCATCAAGTTTGGGCTTTTCATGTTCCTGTGTCTTCCCCCTGTCTCAGTATGTCTCCATGAGACAAGGTGGGTGAGTTAGTATCTTTTATTGGACTAACTTCTGTTGGTGAGAGAGACAAGCTTTGGCACTACACCGAGCTCTTCCTCAAATTTGGGAAAGGTATTCAGAGTGTCACGGCAATACAAGGATCAAACAGATAGAAAAAGCGCTACTTATGCTAAACTAAGGGACTATTCAAGGTGAAGTGGCCCATTAATACCTCTGTAGTCATAAGACAAAAAGGGGAATTAGTAGGGTGACTAGACAGCAAGTGTGAAAAATCGGGACGGGGTGGGGGGGTAATAGGATCCTGTATAAGAAAAAGACCCAAAAATTGGGACTGTCCCTATAAAATCGGGACATCTGGTCACCCTAGGAATTAGTGGGTTACAGAATGTTGTAATAAACCATAAATCCAGTGTCTTTATTAAAACCATGATTTTTAGTGTCTAGCAAAGTTATGAATTTAAGCTCCCAGGCTCATCTTTTGAAAGTGTTGTGATGGTTTCCTTTGAGGATGAGGAATGAGAGGTCAGATCCCTTTGTGAAATGTATGTCTGCATGGCAAACAAAGTCCAAATGTAAAGTACTCCAGTTAGAATGCCAAACAGGTTATGTAAACGTTAGTAATTATACCCTTACTCTTAAGGTGTTAAATATGTGTGGCTTTTAAGCAGCAGCTAAGTAGATGAGCCTAAGGAGATAACGTCCACAGGAAGTGCAAATGGTTAAGGAAACGCTGGGAGAGGAAAAGGAGGTAACACCAGTTTCTTGCTATTTAAATGCTTCTTCCAACCGTAAGATTTTTGCTGAGTCCAATCATTTTCTGCGAGGTGAATATTATGGTGCTTTTATAGGCATACAGTGCGCAATGGGTCCACCTGCTCTAAAGCTTTGAGATTGTTTTTCACTTGTCATGCAACCGTAATAAAGGCACCCACGTTATAGGAGCAATAACATAATAGCGGGTTTGTAAACCAGTACGTGAACTCTTTATCTTGTTTAAGTAGATATTATCCTGTTCCTATGATCTCTTTGATCTTGACCTGGTAAAATCTGTTACTTTTGGGTTTGTTTTGTTGCCTTTTTGCCAGCCTGTATCTTTATGTAACGTTTACTGGAGTGCATTGGGGTTTGGGGTTTTTTTAAATATCTTTAGTTTTTGGCAGTTTTCCCAGAGCTTCCGTGTGAGTTAATCATGAACACCAAGGTACTTTAGTGCCCACAAATACAGGATTGTTACCTTATGTGTACTTTCTACTAGAAACAAAGAGCTAATAACCAGATCAGTTCAGTGTGATGCTTGCACATCACTGGCAATCAAAGCATTCACCTCTAATAATGGGCCAATTTGTTCACGGAGCATATTTAATATATTAGATTTGGGTTGCAGGATTCACTCCAACTTGTCTGTCTTATGTCACACACAATGTTCTGTACAGCTAGACCTATTAGTTTAGAAGCATTGTTTATTTTAGTTGGCTTTTATATATGGATCCTTTCCAACAGCAGCTGCATCTAATTGCGTTTGAGGAACTGGAGTGGGGAAAGCAATAGACTTGCTATGTGATCAGTGACGCAACCTCACTGTCACATTTCAGAAGCATGGCAGGGGCGAGAAGAAAACTGCCTTTTTTTTTTTTTTTTATGAAACTGATGGGTATATTTTCCCAGAACGCTGAAATTTTGACTGGCAAGGGGCAACTTTATTCTTTAGACTTCAACTAGCAGGATGTAGCCATACCTGGGTCTCATAAACGGATATGAAACACACCCTGCCTAAGGCAACAAAAGCCAGGTTGGCCCGCTTCTTATCTCTCTCTTTCTCTCCCCCGCCCCGCAAGAGAGATCAGAATCAGGCTCTGTATTTGTAAATTATTTTAACCCTTGCTGGAAGCTCTTGCCTTAAACAGGGGAGGTTACTGCCATGTTTCCCTTAGAGGATTTTTTTTTAAATAAAGTTTTGACAAGATTCTCACATTCGGCTTCCACAAGAAAGCCGGGAGGGGGTCCTGCTGCTGGAAAGAAACAGCTGCAGTCAGGATGATGTAGCAACAGTAGTGAAGAGGGTCTAGGTCTAGTATCATGCACTAAGAGGGACTCTAGGTTTATCCCTGTTTGTGGTAGCTAAGAAGGTCTAGAATTACTACTAGTGATACCTATTTCTTACATAGTACTCTTCAAAGTCTTTTAATGTATTTATCCTCCCAACACCCCACGGCGGTAGGGACGCAGCATTATCCCGGTTTTACCGATGGGGAACTGAGGCACAAATTTAGCCAAGGTCACTCAGCAGGTCCATGGCAGAGCCAAGAACTGAGCCCAGGTCTCCCCTATCCTAAGCCCCTCGACCCTCCTTCCCCTCTGAGGGGTCTAGTTCATGGCCTGGAGGGAGAGGAGAAGGGCTCGGATCTTGCACTAGCAGGGATGGATGCTCGGTTCATGCTGGTTGCTGAGATGAAGGGTTTGGACGTTGGTTAGGGACAGGGCGCAATGAGAGCCCCAGGCTGGGCGGCCACCCCACTCTGCTGGTTCGAGGGTGACCAGTTGTCCCCCTATTAAGGGCTTTATTTTATATGCACAACTCTACCTTCCCTGGAAAAAGTGTCCCTCCTTTTCACACTTGCCCCTGCCTTTAAACCCCCGCGCCTCCCCGTTGGGTGTCTGGGATGGCTCCGCCGGGGAGAGCCGGCCCCAGCCCGAGCGCACCCACCGGATGAGGAAGATGATGAGCCACTGCAGGGCGGTGGAGAGGGTGTCCTGGCTGGCCCCGAAGATGTCGGTGACGGTGGCGGGCACGTGCTCTAGCGGCAGCCGGGGCTGCGCCTGCTGGAGGCGGATGAAGGCGTCCAGCATGTCGCGGGGGGCGGCCCCGGGGCGCAGGCTGCGGCGGTGCTGCAGGAACTTGCCCCGCACGAAGCTGTAGAAGTCGCGGTTGAGCTGGCGGAAGGCGCGGTAGGCGGCGCGCACCGGGTTGGGGAAGCGCTGGAGCCAGGGCAGCGCGTCCACCAGGCTGCCGGCCCCCACCGTGCGGCCGAACTGCTCGTTGCGGCCCACCAGGCGCAGGAACTCGGCGTCGCTGTGGCTGTAGCGGCGGCCGAAGCACAGGGCGCTCATCACGTTGGCCACGGCCACCACCAGGCTGCGCCCGGGGTCCAGGAAGGCGCCGCCCGCGCTGCCCCGCACCAGCAGCGCCACCAGCGCCCGCGCCTCGCCCAGCAGGTGCTGCTCCAGCAGGCGGCGCGGGGCCGGGCTGCCGGTGGAGAAGGCCCGCACGGTGGAGTGCGCCAGCCGGCGCTGCAGCTTCCACAGCTCGGAGTAGCCGCCGAAGGCCAGGCTGCGGCCCCCGGACACCAGCTGGAAGGAGGGGAAGCGCGGCCGGCCGGCGAAGGCGGCCCCCTGGCGGATGAGCGCCCCGCGGATGGCGCGCTCGCCGTTCAGCACCACCACGGGCCGGCTGCCCAGGCGCAACTGGAACACGTCGCCGTAGGTGCGGGCCAGGCGGGCGAAGGTGAGGTGCGGGGCGCTGCCCAGCTGAGCCGCGTTGCCGATCAGGGGCCACGGGAAAGGGCCCGGGGGCTCCAGGCGCCGCTGCCGCAGGAGGAGCTGCCGCAGGTGGATGGCGGCGAGCAGGGAGAGGAGCAGCAGCAGGGCGCTCTGCAGCGGCGGGATGCTGGAGAGCGCCTCTTCCAGCCGCCGGAGGGCCATGCTGCGGGGAGAAGCAGAGATCAGGTCGGGCTCTGAAGGAAGGGTTCATGTGCCCGCACCTGCCGTGCAGCAAAAGGCGGGAGCAGTGGGGGGCTGCAGATGTGCCGGCTTCGCAGGGGCAGGCAGTGTAAATAGAGCAAGTTCTGACACCGACGCCAGCGAGCGATGCTTATCATGGCCCTGTGGAGCCTGAGATGTGCCTAGAAAGCGCCTAGCGCGCGGCTGGGTGCTGAGCGAAAACCGCAATCAAGCACCATTGGCGTTTGAGAGCTGGGGAAGCGCTCGCCCCGGCCGAGAGGGGAAGTTTGCCTCGTGGCAAGCGGACTCCCACGGCAGGAGCGGGCGAAGAGAAGAGGATGCGCTCGCTGTAAGCAACTGCCGCGACGTGGAAGCTGCAAGAAGCTTCTTCCTTATACAGGTCGGGCAGGTGATGCCAGCAGTGTCACCGCACGTCTGTGCCTACTGCAAAATAAATGCGTCTACCGCGTTGGAATCTGCGCGCAACGCTCCTAATTGTTTTTGGAAGGAAACAGCGAGAGACTGTAAATCAGGACAAGCTTCCCCCCTTCCTGACTTTAATTAGCGGTAGGCGTGAACTGGTAACAGTCAGTATGCACGCATGGGTTGAGGGAGATGGGCACAGCCCCAGTGATACAGGAATATCATTCACACCCAAATAGCAGTTACCAGTGTGGTAACTAAGAGCTCGTAGACAACGATCTAAACGTGCTTCCCTTTTTGTCTTTTAATTTGAGTATGGAGGGAGGGGAAAGGGGAAGGCAGCTTTTTAAAAAATCTCTAATAAAACTGACCTGCTGAAAAATGCTTCCATCAGAGGTTTCTGGGCTCCAGTGGGAGGATCCGGGCAGCCCGCAGCAGCTGTGATCCGTGCAAGTGGGCAGCCCCAGCAGGAGACGCAGCGCAGCAGTGAGGTTCAGATCCCAGACTGTGGGAAACTCATTAGAAGCCCAGGTTCTTGTCACCCGGAGCTTGGCAGGTCATGTGCAGGCAAATGCCAATTGCACCCGATCCCGCATCGTGCGTTGTTCTAATCTTCCGAGCATGTTAACCCTTCAGAGCTCGCACTTCAATAGCCTGCCTCGTTCAGACTAAATAGACATCAGCCAGATGTGATCCTTGCATAGAGCCCGGGTGATGGGGCAACCAGAACCTGCTGGAGCAAATGAGCGGCTTACAGGACAGTTTAGTGTCCCCCTGAGTTGAGCCGGAGCCCGGCTGGGCAGTCTTCTGGCACTGGCTCTCCTGGCTTCAATTCCACCAGCAGCTGCAGCCTCCAGCCCGTAGTTAGCCCTTCCCGAATTGCCTGGTATTGACAAATCGCAGCCGCCCGGTTCTTCCCTACGGGACCCGGCTCTTTGTCAATTGCCTTTGGCCCCAACCCATCTGGACTGGCTGAGCCTTCGAGGTTTCCTGCCTTTTGGTGAACGTTTTAGCAAAGCGGTTCCAGTTGAACGGCTGGCGGGGCTGTGGGATCGCGGACTTCTGTGGCAGGAGGGAAAATCTCCTTCATCTTCAGGGTTTATGAAGTTGGAAAGTTTCCCCCTCCTCTGCCTGTCGCCTCCCAGTTGCGTGCAGAGTTTGCATTGCGTGAGCCTGTGGTGGAACCCTCCAGCCATCTCCTCCCCCCGCTCTTCCTCTTCACAGTACCTGACACCAGCTTAAAGGGAAATAACGCAACGCTGGGCAATACAGGCGCCCGGCCGCGTGCAAGATTAGAAGGAAACGGCTGTAGCATGAGGAGCCAGGCTGATAGCTTTGCCACCTGCTGAAGGGAGCTGTTAGTTCCCAGAAGTGAGTTATTTCGTCTGTGAGAGGATGAACAGTTCGTTCCCGTTCGGTTTTGCTCCTCATCAGAAATCTCTGTAGGTCACTCTCTGGCGGAGGGTATGGAGTCTCGGCTGGAAGTAGCCTGCATGTCTCTCCATTCGTTCGCTTACCTCTGGGAGAGCAGGAATTGTTACCTCTGGCTGCTCAGGGAAGCCCAGGGAGTTTTTGTTATTGACTTGAAGGGGAGCAGGATAGGGCAAAGTAAAGGGAACAGCCCAGCTGTTTCCTAAGGTTCCTTCTTGAGTCCCATTACAGTTTCTATTTGTTTGTTTAGGGAGTTTTAAGAGGTTGACAAATCCTTGCCCTGTAAATATCAGAGACAATACAATAATCATTATAACACTGGGCTTTTGGTTAAAGAGGTATAGTGATATAGTCATCAGATCTCTCTATGTTACTATATTGCAGAGTGAGCATGTTAAGACACCCAAAGACATGTCATTTCTAATTGTTTTATTAAACCGAGTAAAATCTCTGATTACACAGTTAGGAGAGCAGACATGTCTATCTCATGTTAATATTCAAAAGCAAATGTACAGTTTCCCTTTTCAGGCACAAATAGTGATCTTTTCAGAGGTATATTTTCCAGTGTTCCAATATTATTGGGATGCTTTCCACGATTTATTTGAGGGATTATTTCCTTCTAGACACATACAGACAGAGAGAGAGAGAGTTAAGCACTAAAATACATTTAGGATGTATTCCATTCTTTCTTGATTTAAAATGGATTACAGAAGTCCTCAGAGGTACCTACAAAAATGGGTTTCTGCATTTCTTTTCAAGCTGCTTTTCAAATATTTTTAAACTCTCACACACAAAATTTGCCCCAGGCTAACAAAATAGATTACAAATTGTTAGCATGGCAGCTTTGAGTGGAAAATATCATCTTGGTAGCATTTAGAGTTTCATGGGATTAGAACATGACATCTTGTCCATCTGAGAAGTTATTTTTATTTTGCTTTACTATTTATTAATTTGTTATAAAATGCACATTGTGTCCACAGCATTATATCTGGGTTCATATTACAAACATTTAAACAGACTGTTACCAACAGTTGGCATTGGTCAAACCCATCTCTCCTTCTACCACATCCATCAGCTGAGTAATGAATGACCTAATCCTATTTCCACTGAAGTCAATGCAAATTTTACCATTTATTTCAATGGCAGCAAGAATGGGTCTGTTAGGAGCTGGGTGAAATCTTGTTATGGGTGGAGTTAAACCCTCATTGAGATTAATAGGTATGACTTCACCCTTCAGTTAACATAGTGTAAAGATAAACCTCACCTAAGACAAAAGGAATATGTGAACACATCCAGGAATTTTTGCTGTGTAATGTTTATGTTCAGTGGCATGGATGTATGCGAGAGGGAAGAACACACAGAAACTGAGACAGCTTGGTATCTGACCTGGAAGAAACCTGGGTAGAGATTTTTGGGTCAGAGGTGCAGGCTGAAAAGAGTGTTCTTGGTGCTGTGAGCCAAAGAAGCAGTTTCCTACTATTTGATTCCTTCTGCATTCAGAGACACAGAAGTTTGCATGTTCTTTGTAAATAAACAAAACTGCATCAAAGAAATCCTTATCACCAATTTCTACTCCCAACTGGAACATCCCAAGGGGCCCAAATTTTGACTAGATGCTCAAGTCAAAAAGAGGCAACAGGTCCTATATCTCTGTCCTGCCCTCCTCCCCCCCGAATTAAGAAAAGGACAGTATGTGTTTTGCATTGAATCCCCAGGTCGCCAAACTCCAGTGCTAGTGGACTGCAAGAGGGAGAAGATTTCCAGAACCAAGGTTAATTTACCAAGGACGCCTTGCTGTCTGCACCCAGGAGCTTAACACTTGGGACAAAGATCAAGAACATCCAGACCCAACACAACAGGACACTTGAAACAGGTACCCGAAGAAGCTGAATCCTAGGCCATTCAGAGCACTTTTAAATGGCATTTCCTGACTGTTGAGTGCCTCACTTTGCAGCCTTAAGATTTTTTTCCTATTGAACCTCCAAATTAGACTTAAGTATAACTGCTCACCCTGGGTGGTTAGCAGGGATTGAACCAAGGACTTCTCCATGAAAATCATGAGCATTCACTGTTCAAGCTAAAGGACTCGACTCTAAAGTCTATGTATTATTACAAGCCTAATTTAATTTTTTTTCATTCTGTAATAAAATATCTATCCTCTTCTTTCATTTTTCTTTGGCCTCTGAAAAAGATAAGTGACTTCCAAGAGTCATGGATGTTGAGTCCTACCATTGATCAATGGTTGAGGAAAAGAAAGAGAAAGAAGGCAAGACGAGAAAAAAGATATTACATTTATTGTTTCATATTTATATTGAAGTGGTCCCTACTGGCCAACCAGGTCTGGGCCCCATTGTCCTGGGTGCTATACAAATATGTAAACAGTGAAGTCCTCACCCAAAGTGTTGAGTGTTTAAACCCATTATTGTCCAAAGATTATTTCAACTACAGGTAGTAAACACTCACCCCAACTTTCTAGGGCCTGATTCTCTAGTGCTTTGCACCTTGTGTAGTCACACCTGTGCAAATTATATGAAATGTTGCCATTCTGATTTCTTAGTGTTTTACAAGGTGCAAGGTGTTTACTGTTTCAGGGTGACTGCACCTATATTCCTCCTCCATGGTCCCTTGAGGGAACTCACTCAAGGTTTTCAGCTCCCAGGTGTCATCCCTCGGGTGGAGACCCATGTGTCTCTCCCTCCTGTCTGGGGTTTTAAGGCTACACAGCTCCCTGCCTTACACTGCGATATCCCCAGAAAGCCAGTCCACCTAAAGGCTAGTGCCTGTGCATTGCTTTCTCTCCCCGAAGGCTATGAGCAGTGTATTGCCAGCAGTGGCAAGTCACCATGCAGCTCTTTCTAAGCAAGCACATTTATTCATAAGGTAAAAACATTATAGGGAACACATAATAAAACAATAAACAGATTTTAACACACTCTAAACATACTAGGAGTCATTCATGTGGTTTTTTTATTTAAAGCTAACAGAGTTTACCACAAGAGTTCAGTTTACATGAAGATCTCTTCTGATACAAGTTCCACTAGTACAAAAGATTATTTTCCTCAGTTTCACTGCCTTACACTGATACAAGGGCAACAGTAGGCATCTGATTCTCATCTGCACCCAGAGTGCCAAGGATGCAAGGGAATTGGCTGGGGCTCCCTGATTATGGGGCCAATTCTATGCTGGGCCTGGTCTAAATTAGAGCAACTTGGGAGTGCTTTTTAAAACATATATATTATTACATTGTATATCTTAAAACTTTGTTAATTTCTTATATTTATTTGAGGCAGGGGCCTATGAAAAAAACTGTGTGTGATCATAATACATAGGCACCAGAAGAATGAATAAAGGTTGCACAAGCAGCATTAATTCTGGCATTTCCTAACTTTTTGGTGATGGTATTGATTATTTGTATTATCGTAGGACCTAGGAGCCATGGAAAAGGACCCCATTGTGCTAGGCGCTGTACAAACACAGAACAAAAAGTCAGTCCCTGCCCCAGAGAGTTTACAATTTAAGTATAAGACAACAGATGGATACAGACAGACAAATAGAGGCATACAAGGAAACAATGAGTCTATGTTGGTCAGCATGATAGGCTGTGGTCTCAGCAAGGGGGTGGCAAAATGCACATCCCTGACACAAAGGCCACCCTCTTGCCAAATTTCAAGTTCCCACTCCAGAGAATGCGGCTGTTCAAGCTTTAACATGAACAAAACAATGTATTTTCACTAGCCTCATTTTTGGAAAAAGCTGGACTGTTTGGGCTGAAACATTTCCAAAATTTCAGCCTCAGGCAGACACCCAGCATGTACAACTTCAGCCTGAATGGCTAGAGTTCGGCAAAGGTTATAAGCAACTGAAAACATAGGGATTCCCAATCAAGATGAGGGGCCCATTGTGTTAGACTCAATACATACACATAATGAAAGACAGCCCCTGACCCCAGTAATTTATAGTCTAAAGAGAGAAGATGGCTAGAGGCTGGGATGGGAAAAGAGAGGCAGAGATGAATAAAGGATCAGCTGCAGAGCCAGATATAGTTTCCCAGTTCAGTGCCCTACCTCCTAGGCCATTTTATCAGCTTACAGTTTTTCACGGTATAATTTCCCATTGTATACATATTTTTCACTTAATTTCTTCAATTTGTATTGTGCCCTGATCACCATTCTTTCTGCACAAATACAGTTTTGTAAAGAGCAAAAACAGACAATGCAATATTGAACCTGGTTGTTCTGAACATAGCATATATCATTAGTACAGTAGGGTAAGGTGAATTTTAAGTACTGCCCCTTCACCCACAGAATATACCTAACTGTGATGCCTGTAGTCTTGCCCTCTTGGGCTTTGATCTCATGAGTTCATGGGTTGGGCTGGAAGCTTCAAATGAAAATGCCTGTGCTGCAGAAAGTGGTGGTAAGGATTCAGCAGGTGGTGCTCTTCTCTCTGGAAGTCTGCACTG